TAGTTCTGTGTTGTTGGAATTTATTACAAATTCACTGTATTTTAACAAAATTAAAGATGTATTTGAAAATTCTGAAACTCCTTTCCTGCACCTTCAAAATTAATGTAAGAAAATGTCCTACATCACGTTATTACTGTGAGCCTGGTAGAAGTTAATGCCTTTACCAGTCACAGGGGACTTAGCAACCATACAAGACATAGCAACTTTTAGGTTAAATATCAGTACTTTTTATATGTAAGTGCATACACAAAACACACACACACACACACACACACACACACACACATACATAGCTCAGCGATACTGTGGGATTGGTTCCAGACCACTGCAGTAAAGTAAGTCAAATGAATTTTGTTTCTTAGTGCATACAAAAAGTTATGTTTGCACTCTACTGTGGTCTATTAAGTGTGCAATAGCCTTTGTCTAAAAAGAAAAAATCAATGTACATCCTTTAATTAAAAAATAATTTAATGCTAAAAATGCTAAGCATCATCTGAGTTTTCACTGAGTTGTTATCTTTTTTGCTGATGGAGGATCTTGCTTCTATTGATGGCTGCTGACCGATCAGGGTGGTGGTTGCCGAAGGTTGGGGTGGCTGTGGCAGTTTCTTAAAATGAGATGATGAAGATCGCCACTTCAATTGACTCTTCCTTTTGTGAATAATTTCTCTATTGCAGATGATGCCGTTTGATAGCATTTTAGCCACAGTAGAACCTCTTTCAAAATTGGGAGTCTATTCTCTCAAATCTTGCTGTTCCTTTATCATGTAATATTCTCAATATGTAATATTCTCAATCCTTGTTATGTAATATTCTCAATCCTTGTTATCATGTCAACAAACGTCACAACACCCTTTTTAAAAACATTTTTTTTGGTAATGTTTATTTATTTTTTAAAGGGTTGGGAGATTTCTTAATTTTATTTTATGTTAATTTTTTTGGATGCTTATTTATTTTTGACAGAGAGAGAAAGACAGAGCACGAGCTGGGGAGGGGCAGAGAGAGAGGGAGACACAGAATCCGAAGCAGGCTCCAGGCTCTGAGCTGTCCACACAGAGCCCAACACAAGGTTCCACTCACGAACTTTGAGGTCATGACCTGAGCCGCTTAACCAACTGAGCAACCCAGGTGCCCCTAAACATCACAACATCTTTACCAGGAGGACATTCCATCTCAAGAAACCACTCTTGTCCTCATCCATAAGCAGCAATGAACTCTTCATCTGTTCAAGTTTGATTATGAGATTCCAGCATTTCCATCCCATCTTCAGGATCCACTTCTGACTCTAGTTCTTTTGCTATTCTCACCACACTTGCAGTTATTTCCGTCACTGAAGCCTTAAACCTACATGGGTTAAATGGCAGGCACTGTGATATGTGCCTTAATTTTGTTTTCTTGGTTAATAATTGTGATATGAGATAGTATTATCCTCACTTTATGAAAAGAAAACTGAAGCTCAGAAAAATTAACTTGACCAAGGACAGGTAACTAGTTAAATGGCAGTGTTGGATGAAAACCCAGTTCTGTCAGGTGTTGCTACCTCTCAATTTGTGTTATATGTTTTTCTGTTACAGTGCTGGAATCAATAAACTCCTCTTTTCCCCTTAAAAAATTTTGGAATAGGGGCGCCCGAGTGGCTCAGTCGGTTAAGCGTCTGACTGCGGCTCAGGTCATGATCTCATGGTTCATGGGTTTGAGCCCACATCGGGCTCTGTGCTGACGGCTCAGAGCCTGGAGCCTGCTTCAGATTCTGTGTCTCCCTCTCTGTCCCTCCCCCTGCTCACACTCTGTCTTTCTCTCAAAAATAAATAAATGTTAAAAAAATTTTTTTTTCAAGAATTTGGAATACGTTATCAAATTTGGAAAAAATGCGACTATATCAAATATGAAAAATATAAGGTGTAGAGGGATGCGTAGGATGCCACGGGAGTATGAAGAAGGGACAGTACAGCTTAGTCATTGAGTCTCATGCCAATTAATGCAATGTTGTATGAGTGTACTCAATTACTATAGACTCATCTTTTACAGCTCTAATTCAGGATAATAGCTCCTGATTTATAGAGTTGCTTGGAGAGCTTAACTGCACCAGTGACTACATGAAAGATCCTTAGCTTAGTGCCTGACACATAATAAATTATCCTAGAGAACATTTATCTTGGCCTGAGTCTCCCAGAGGAGCAGAACTTAGTCCCGAGGAAAGAAAGGAGGAAAAAAGGTGATCTAAGCAGTGAGTAAGTTGTGCAGGAAGGAGGACATAACATCTGTGTTTTAAAAAAATAAAGGCCAACTGCTTTAGAGGACCACAGCCAGGTGAAGATCAAGATAATGTATCAAGGGTTCTGAATGGTAAGCTAAGGGTGGAGTACTTTGTCCTGACTTCTGGAGAGTTACTGACAGGTTTAACTGAGAGGAACAACTTGAATCGGTTTAAAAAGTGAAGGTATGAGAGATAAGTTAAATTATATCAAGAAGAAGTAGGGGCACCTAGGTGGCTCAGTTGGTTAAGCGTCCAACTTCGGCCCAGGTTATGATCTCGCAGTTAGTTAGAGCCCCGCATTGGGCTCTGTGCTAACAACTCAGCTTTGGAGCCTGCTTCAAATTCTGTGTCTCCCTCTCCCTCTGCCCCTCCCCTACTCATTATCTCTCTCTCTCATAAGTAAATAAACTTTTAAAAAATAATAAAAAAAAGAAGCAGTAGGCAAAATGTAGAACTTGGAATAGTCCACAGGACTAAAGGTAGAGACAGAAGACAGTATTGTAGATTGAGCGATTTTAAGAGTACTAATAAGCAAGTGTAATGTGTGGTCAGTGTTTGGATCCAGATTCAAATCTAAAATAGAAAACTGGGGCACCTGGCTAGCTCAGTTGGTGGAGCATGCAACTCTTAATCTCCAGGTTGTAGGTTTGACCTCCACACTGGGTGTGGAGATTACTTAAAAAAATAAAATCTTAAAAAAAAAAAAAGAAAAGAAATAGAAAGCTTATTTGCCAAGAACAATGGGCATGGTGGCTGCCATTTATGTGATATTCTTATTTAAAAAAAGGTTGAGGGGCGCCTGGGTGGCTCAGTCGGGTAAGCGTCCAACTTCAGCTCAGGTCGTGATCTCGAGGTTCCAGAGTTCAAACCCTGTGTCAGGCTCTGTGCTGACAGCTCAGAGCCTGGAGCCTGCTTCGGATCCTGTTTCTCCCTCTCTCTCTCTCTGCCCCTTTCCCACTTGCGCTCTCTCTCTCAAAAATAAATAAAAATATTTTAAAAAAATAAAAGTAAAAAAAGTTGTAATCCTCATCTTTCAGGTCAAAGAAAGGGATTCTTCAAAAAAGTTGCATGGGTTTTCCTAAAGTTACACACTAAGTAGCTGAACAGGATTCAAACCGAATGGCCTTTTAATGTTAGTCCTTACATTATGAAACATTCCCTCCCATAGCATGTGGCTGTGATGGCTTTTGCTTGTGCAGGCCCAAGACGCTGTGTCAATCCTTGACATTGGGAATAATTAGAAATGGAGGCTCTCTAGAATTACTGCATTTTTCCTATTTTGCTTATAGGAAGAGTAAGTCTGTGTAGTAAAAGAAGTTGCTAGGTGACCATGACAAAGCTAATTTCAAATGTCAAAACCCTGCCCATAATTACTGTTCTCACTGTCTTTGGGTCATGAGGGAGGGAGAGGAAGAGCAAAAGTTGAGAAAGTGTTTGTTAGTGGGAGAAAGAGAGAATATTGCATTGATGGTAAAATGGCTTACAAACTTGGAGGAGTTTTATTAGTTTAAAACTGGGTGTGGTGGGTACCTTAAAAACCAGCCCGGAAATTTTCTCCCTAACTTTTTTATTTTGATGATTTCAAACCTATAGAAAACTTGAAAGGATGTGCAATGTACATAGGTAAACCTTTTGCCTGGATGCACTAGTTTTTAACCTTTTGCTACACATTTAAAATTATTGAACCTTCATAAGCGTCCGACTTCAACCAGGTCACGATCTCACGGTTCGTGAGTTCGAGCCCCGCGTCGGGCTCTGGGCTGATGGCTCAGAGCCTGGAGCCTGTTTCCGATTCTGTGTCTCCCTCTCTCTCTGCCCCTCGCCCGTTCATGCTCTGTCTCTCTCTGTCCCAAAAATAAATAAACGTTGAAAAAAAAAATAAAATAAAATTATTGAACCTTCTGAAAGTGTGTTGCAGCCATCAAGATGGCCTCCCCCACCATGTGTCAATATATATTTATTGCCTAAGGACAAGGACATTTGGCTTCTCACCTATGATAAATTAATATGATAAGCACAATACTGATAGAATATGATATGTAGTCCATATTGAAAGTTTCCCATTTGTCCCAAAAGGGTTCTTTTGGTTGTTTATCTTTTATTTATTTTTTTGAGTTTATTTATTTATTTTGAGAGACGGGGAGAGAGAATTCCAAGCAAGCCACACACTGTCAGCATGGAGCACAACGTGGGTCTCTAACCCAGGAACCCTGAGATCATGACCCAAGCCAAAGTCAAGAGTTGGATGCTTAACGGACTGAGCTACCCAGGCGCCCCTAGTTGTTTTATCTTTAATTTTGCGATCCCAGATTCAGTCAGGAATTGCATGTTGTATTTGGCTGTCGTATTTGTTTAGTCTTAAATCTGAAACTTCTTTTGTGTTTGTTTTGCATGGCATTTACATTTTGAATAACACATAGCGATTGTCTTGTAGAATGTTCCGCGATTTAAGTTAGAGTACTTGTTTTCTCATGATTGGATTGAGGTGGAGTATTTTTTGGAAGGATATTTTTTATAGGCTTTATTGTTGTTTTTGAAATGTAGGAGATAAATGAATCTATAACTACAGATACCTGTTTTTCCCCAAACCTCCACCTAGTAATTCCAGTCAGAGCTGGAATTACTAACAGATGTTAAAATTTTAGCATTTATTAATGAGTCTTAGGTGAATGTTTTCATACATTGGTGATTGTGGTTTCATATTTTTAACTTAATGTCTTTTCTCACCCATAGGAAAGATTCCTAGGCTTGGACCTAAAGCTGCTTTCTTGAACAGGAAAGTCATTAAGCCTGGCTTTACATCATTGAGTGGGAAGAACAGCAGCCCATCTAATACATTCTAGTATGCAATAGACTGCAGCCTGTCGGGTACTCTTGGCAATAGACTCTAAAGCTAAAGGGAGGGGGATAAACACATTTATACAGGAGATCATCAACATGCCAATCCAGTGAAACTGAAAGCTGGTTAGTTTTCAAGGTCTGTGGGAAGATATCCACTGCTCACTGGGTCCTGAGTGCTTTACTAAAGAACTTATAACCTTACCCACCACCTTTGTTCACAGCTCAATGGAGTTTGTGACAGCCCTAGAGGACCTCCAAACAGGGGCTAGCTGTCCCATCTGTCTGGACTACTTGAAAGACCCAGTGACCATCAACTGTGGGCATAACTTCTGTCTCTCTTGCATCAGTATCTCCTGGAAGGATCTAAACGATACTTTCCCCTGCCCCTTTTGCCGTCATTGCTTTCCAGAAAGGAAGTTCACAAGCAATCCCCAGCTGGGCAATTTGATTGAAATTGCTAAGCTACTACAGGTAAGAAGAAGCAAGAGGAAGAGGAAAGAAGAGAAGCTTATATGTGAAAAGCATAATCAGGTTTTGACCTTTTTCTGCCAGAAGGACCTAGAAGTTTTATGTCCACAGTGTAGTTTCTCCACTGATCACCGGAATCACTACATTTGGCCCATAGAGAAGGCTGCTCCTCATCATAGGAAAAGATTAGAGAATTGCATTGAACCATGGAAGGAGAGAATTGAACAAGTGGAAAAGGTGATAATGATGCAAACCAGAAAATCATTGGAACTGAAGAAGAAGGTAGAATATAGGAGGGAAGAAATAAAGTCTGAATTTGAGCAACTTTTGTTGTTTCTCAAAAATGAGCAAGAGACCGTTCTTCGGCAATTACAAGATGACGAAGTGGACATTTTAACAAAACTAAATGAAAACCTGACAACATTTTCAAATCATCTTTCCACATTAAAATATCTACTAAAGGAGATTGAGGGCAAATACATGAAGTCAGGGCTGGAATTTCTAACAGATGTTAAAAGTATCTACCATAGATATAAAACCTTAAAGTCCCCTGAACCTTTTTCATTCCAATTAAAGGAATATGGTTACCATCTTCCTCCACAATATTCTGGCCTAAATAAAATTATCAAGGGATTTCAAGTAGATCTAATTCTAGATCCTGAAACAGCACATCGTAAGCTTATTATCTCGGAAGATAGAAAAACTGTGCGATATGGAAATAAGATGCATAGCTTACCTCATAACCCAAGGAGGTTTTATCTCTGCCCGGCTGTTCTGGGTTCTGGGGGCTACAATTCTGGCAGGCAGTATTGGGAGGTGGATGTGAAAGACAAGCCTGAATGGATTGTTGGTGTCTGCAGAGACTCTCTTCCCAGAAGGAGAAAGAATCAGAATCAACCAATTTTAGTGCAGGATGGGTTATGGGGTATTGGGCGATGTAGTCAGAGTAATTATATTGCGTTGGGTCCTAAAAAAATTAATCTGCTGCCAAAAGTAATACCCAGCAAGATTGGCATTTTTTTAGACTGTGAATTGTGTGAGATTTCTTTTTACAACTTGAGTGATAGATCTCTTCTCTATATTTTTAACTATTATTGTACAGAAACACTCTGGCCTTATTTCTACACTGGAACTGACTCAAAACCTCTTAAAATCTGTACAGTAACAGATTCTGAATGATGAACTATTGTAAAATTCTTAATTGTTTTTTTTTTCTATTGAGGCAGTGCACAGAACTAAGCCAATTAATCTAGTCTCAACAATTCTGTTGTTTTTTGTTATTGGTTTTTTGTTTGCTTTGTTTTATTGCAGTTTTAGTTTTTCCTTTAAACAACCAGAATGGTTTTTATCTCTGTTTCAGCAGCTTCTAGAAAATATAGTTATAGGGGCACCTGGCTGGCTCAGTGTGTAGAACATGGCAACTCTTGATCCCAGGATCAAGTCTGAGCCCCATGTTAGGGGTAGAACTTACTTTTTTTAAATATGGTTATGGGACACCTGGGTGGCTCATTCAATTGGGCATCTGACTCTTGATTTTGGCTCAGGTCATGATTTCGCAGTTTGTGGAATCGAGCCCCACATTGGGCTCTGAGCCGACAGCATGGAGCCTGCTTGGGATTCTCTCTCTCTCTCTGTCTCGATAAATAAACAAACAAATAGGGAAAAGTCTGCTTATGCCTACTTTACAGATAAATTGTGGGATCAAATTGGAGAATGGTTTGGAAATTCTAATAAAATACCTATAAAATATGTTACTTTAGAAGTCTAGTAATTGTCATTAAAAGTCCAATAAATTTTTTTGTGTTGCCTACATGTTTTGCCATAAAAAAATACATAAGCCTTGGGGCGCCTGGGTGGCGCAGTCGGTTAAGCGTCCGACTTCAGCCAGGTCACGATCTCGCGGTGCGTGAGTTCGAGCCCCGCGTCAGGCTCTGGGCTGATGGCTCAGAGCCTGGAGCCTGTTTCCGATTCTCTGTCTCCCTCTCTCTCTGCCCTTCCCCCGTTCATGCTCTGTCTCTCTCTGTCCCAAAAATAAATAAACGTTGAAAAAAAAAATAAAAAAAAAATACATAAGCCTTTATGAAAAGCATCCATTACCATGCCAGGACCATGTGCTCTATAAAGATAGCCACTTTGAACTTTTCATCTGTTTACCTCAGTATTTCTTTGTAACATGTTTTGGTGTGTGTGTGTGTGTGTGTGTGTGTGTTAGTCTTGACTTAGTACTATGGAAAATGAGGTGATGCCCCCACCATATACATACCTCATATACCTCATATACTTATTAAATTACATATACATACAATAAATCATTTCCCTCTGTTTCCATTTGGACAATGTACCCTGTAGTTCTGTTCAACTACCATTTTTACTTCATTTTGGAAACTGACCTCTTTTCTCAGAATCCCTTTTATTTAGTTCTATGTTTTCTTTCTTAGGCTTTTTCTAGTCTGGAGATTACACCTTTAAGTAGATAATATATGTAAAATTTGGAGCTTGTATCAACAACAGCAAAAAAATACTGCTGAGCCTTTGGATTTGTGTTGAATCTAGATCAAGTTGGATAAAATCCACATCTTCACAATATTGAGGCTTCTAATCCATGAACTAATTTATTTGGCTCTTTTACTTATCTCTGCAACGTTTGTAATTTTAAGCATATATGACTTAAAAAAAATTTTTTTTTTATATTTATTAATTTTTGAGAGATGGAGAGAGACAGAGCACTAGTCGGGGAGGGATAGAAAGAGGGAGACACAGAATCCCAAAGCAGGCTCCAGGCTCTGAGTTGTCAGCACAGAGCCCGATGCGGGGCTCAAACCGTGAGATCCTGACCAGAGCTGAAGTCAGACGCTTAACCGACTGAGCCACCCAGGCGCCCATACCGTATATGACTTTTAACATCTTTTTGTCAGATTTATCCCTAAATAGAGTCCATTGGGTTTTCTACAAAGATGATTTTGTCATCTTCAAAGAAACATTTTTATTTCTTCCTTGACAGTCTAGGTCCTTTTCCTTTTTCTTGCCTGATTGCACTGAGTAAGACCTCAAGCAGAATGGTAATTCTTAACATTTCATGATTGGTATTACCCATCATTTTACTGCTCATATTTCCTCACTTGATTTTTATACTTTTTTTTTAACCTAACTTTGATACTTCCTAGTATTTACATAAAATAATTTCAATTCAGTATTAAATAGTAAAAATACTGTCAATTCAGTATTTAATCATTTACCCACTGATAGATGTTTACTTAGGTCATATCTTTTTTTTTTTTAATTTTTTTTTTCCAACGTTTATTTATTTTTGGGACAGAGAGAGACAGAGCATGAATGGGGGAGGGGCAGAGAGAGAGGGAGACACAGAATCGGAGACAGGCTCCAGGCTCTGAGCCATCAGCCCAAAGCCCGACGCGGGGCTCGAACTCACGGACCGCGAGATCGTGACCTGGCTGAAGTCAGACGCTCAACCAACTGCGCCACCCAGGCGCCCCTTAGGTCATATCTTTTGAAATAGTTTATGTAGATACTTTTAACAAAATAGACGATACACCATAATGGAAACTAAAACACTCATGTGTCCATGACCCAATTTAATAGAACATTAGCATCGCCTATGAGGTTCCCCTTGTGTCCCTTCTCAACCCCAGCCTCTTCACTTCCTGGTCCTATCTAGTTCCCTCCACTATTCTTAGTTTGATATTCCATTGTTTTCTGGACTTTTTCCTGTGTATGTATCTCTAAACAAAATGTTTAGTTCCACATGTTTTTTCAATTAACATAGTTAATTATAACAGTTAACATACAGTGTTAGCTTTCAGGTGATTCAGTAATTCCATACATTACTCAGTGCTCATCATGATAGGTGTATTCTTTAGTCTTTAGTTCCAGATGTTTTTGAATTTTTCATAAAGTTGATGATGCATCATGTTGAATTTATTTAAAAAAAATTTTTTTTTTTTTTTAACGTTTATTACTGACAGACAGACAGAGCATGAGCATGGGAGGGGCAGAGAGAGGGGGAGACACAGAATCCAAAGCAGGCCCCAGGCTCTGAGCTGTCAGCACAGAGCCTGACGCGGGGCTCGAACACATAAACCGTGAGATCATGACCGGAGCTGAAATTGGACGCTTAACTGACTGAGCCACCCAGGCCCCCTGATCATGTTGAATTTTTTTCATTCAACATTATGTTCATGAGATTCAAATTTTTTGCTTAAAGTTGAACTTCATTCTACTTCTGACGGACATTCAGTTTGAAACTTTCACAAACAGCTGCTATGGAAAATAATTTGACATTATCCAATAAAGATGAAGGTTTAGCAAGTCCCTCCCCAGAGAAACCAGATGCATAATTTCCAAAGTGCTGTGCCGATTTATACTCACACTACAGTGTATAAATGTTTTCATTGCTCTGCTTCAACAGTACTACATTTATTTATTTATTTTCACTAATTATAAATGTTAAATATCTCCAGTTTTAATTCCCATGATCTCTAATAATAGACCATATTTTTATAGCTTAATAATCACTTCTGTTTATCCTATAAAATACCTGGTTACCCCTCCACTCCCATTTTTCTATTAGTCTGTCTCATTGATTTATAAGAGTTCTTTATATTTTCTGGGTTTTAGTCCTGTAGCATTTATGTTCACTGTATGTTCTTCAAAGTTTATCTCACTCTTACTGTGGTGTCTTGAACAGAAGGTAAGTTTGATATATTTGATTTTATCATTCTTTCCTTTTGAGGTTTGGATTCTTTAAGAAATCCTCTATTCCAGGAGGCAAACCAGAAGAGGCTCTTAAGTACAAACTTGCTGGAAGGGTGGGGGGATGGACTAAATGAGTGATGGGCATTAAGGAGGGTCCTTGTTGGGATGAGCACTGGGTATCCTATGTAAGAGAGGAATCACTGGGTTCTACTCCTGAAGCCAACACTACACTGTATCTTAACTAACTTGAATATACATAAAAAAATTTTAAAAATGTTTCTACTCCAGAAACATTAAAATATTCTATGTGTGCTTTTAATCATCTACTTAGAAGTTGATTCTGTGTTTGGGAATAGGATGGGGCTTGCCTATATATTTAGTTGTACATACTGTATGAATGATCAATACATTCATTCATAATGTATGAATGACCAATGGACACACACCATTTATTGAGAGGTCTGTCATTTACCCAGCCGATTTGCAATGCCACCTGTATCTGACATCTAATATGATCTACTGGTCTATTGGTCTGTCCTTGGATCAATACCATACGTCTTACAGCTCTCTCATTCTTGATATCTGGTGACAATTCTCATCATCTGTTCAGGCTTACCTTGACAACTCGTGGCCTCTCTCATATAAATTTTAGAGTCAGCTTGCCAAATTCAACATTGTAACTTGGGGATTTTATTTGAAATTGCATTGACACTAGACATCAAGTTGGAGAGAATTGACACCTATATTGAGTTGCCCAATCCATGTACACCTTTACATCAATTTAACTCTTCTTTAAAAGCCATACAATACCCACCAGTGGGGTGCCTTAGGTAAAACTAAACATTCTAACTCACATGACTTCCATAGGGCACACTTGACATCAAGATTACTCAGAAGAATAATGAATATTAATAAGCAGGTTTGCAGCAAGTAGCTTCATTTTTTTCCATGGGAGCCCTCACTGTAGTCAACATAGCTGCCTCAGGGCACTTTTGGGTTCCCTGTGACATCGTTCAGGTAGGAGTAAAGACATTGGGAAAACGAGGGGCCTGCACTGATTTAAAAGCTTCATGTTCCAGGAGGCCATTACATTTTGTAAGTTACCTGACAAGTGGGATTCATGGACTGGAAGGGACCTTCCGAAATATCACTGAAGAGTTGATAAGTCTCTGGAGGAAGCACATGTACAAGATATAGCAAAAGGGTTTTGAGGTTGTTTGAACTTGATAGGTTTGGGAACCAGTTTCCTTACCTTTAAAACTGAAAAATAATCTACCTTATAGGATTGATTAAAGACAATGCTCCTAGCTGCCAGCCTCAATAATACCAAGACTACAGGCTTAGTCAGCCCTTGCTCATATGAATTAAACTCAATGCAGCTAGGCATTTTGTACGTTAACGATAGCTCATGTAGGGGCGCCTGGGTGGCTCAGTTGGTTAAGTATCTGACTCGATTTTGGCTCAGG